CCCCCCCTGCCCTTTTTTTTTCTTTCCTTCTTTCGCCCCCCCTCCCCCCCCCCCCCCCCATGCCGTCCTTCCCTTTGAAACAAGCACAAACATCGAGAGATGAAACACTGAAAGAGCCAGCCCCGAAGAGACCGCGACTTTCCATCACACCAGAAACACTTTTATTTCCTCCTCCTCGTGACTGGCAGCAGTTTGAAAAGTTTGGACACGTGACAAAGGCCTTCCTGGAGGACAAGCGATTCAGCAGCCACTACCACCGCGGGATCTTCAGCTGCGAGGATCTGATCCACCTCTGGAGGAGCTGCTGGTGTTTGCCAAACTGGAGAGTGAGGAGGGTCCAGAGACCTGGTTGATGCCGAGTGTCCTGAGACATGTGGCGGAGGAGAAGGTAAAGGAAGTGTGCGTGTCGGCCGGTCCCCTAGTGGTAGACTTCCCCGACGGAGGTCCCCAGAACGGAATCTTCTGCTCACTGATGGCCCACGTCCTGTCTCCCCAGCACCCTCACCCCCACCCCTGGAAACTCTGCCTCTCCTCCAACCTGCCAAAGTGTTTGTATCGCGACTGCATCCAGTTTCATGTTCCAGATTTCGGTTCCGTCACTCTGGTGGATCGCTTCCAGTACTTCGAGGCCCACGTCTCAGACACCACCAACAAGGAAGAAGAACAGAAACTATGGCAACACGTCGGCAAATCCATCTTCAACGGAATTGAAAAGGTGTCGGACATGCTGGGCTACTCCAACAACAAGCCACGGCCAGCCATCATCTGTCCAAAGAGCCACTCAGACAAGGCCCACACAGCCTACATCAAGGATGGAAAATGGAACTGCACCAGTGACATGATAATTCGCGGCACTTTGGCAGAAATGGACAACTTTCCATGCTGGTTTGCAAAACCATGTAAGCCTGTCTTAGCACATACCTCCAGGAAACTAGTCTTTTTACTGTAAGAAGTGTGCTTGATTACCCATGGAGTTGTATAATATTTATGGGGGGTGGCCTACATAATTTCAGGGTTAAGATGCCAACTAAAGTGTAACCCTTGGATGTGTGTACTTGTACTGCAGGCGAGGAGCAGTCTGCAGTGTCAGTGTTATCCAGTGAGCCATCAGCCATTGCCGAGCCACCCAGAGCCACTTTAGATGCCCGCACAGCACTCCACTGCAGACACACAGCAGTCCACTGCGGACACACAGCAGTCCACTCCAGACACACAGCACTCCATTCCAGACACACAGCAGTCTACAGAGTCCCAGTCACTGCCTCAGCCCAGCTACCACTCCACTTTAGGTATAGAGTTGGGAATGTGTGCTCCAGTGTATGTTACTACAGTGGAACCTGAAAAGCACTAAAGTGCAAACCCTCGGCGCAAAACGCACATGTTGTAGCGTTGATGTAAGCTACGTATATAGGCTGGGCCATGAGTCGCCCTAACACAGGCTAGCTGCATCAGTGGGTAGTGAGCGGTTAGAGCAATGCTGGACTGCACACACATCCCTCCACTATACACTGAACCTGGTCGACGTATGCCACGCCGATATCGTCTTTAGACACACTCGCTTTGCCTTCCTCGCGCTTCCAAAATTATGCGCATGCTCTGGCAAAACACTGACATGGCGCGTGCGTGCCAGCGTACGTGCAGTTGGCTTTATCGCCTGTTTTCACGCCGTATCTCTGGAACGCAGTCGTTTGAGGAAATCACCTTTTAGTTTTCAAGCTGCTAGTATCACTCATAGGCCGCCTCATAGCCTGTAGTACCCAGAATAAGTGTAGACAGACAGATGGACAGACCAAGTACTGTACCTTTGCTGCGCATGCGCGCCGAGGGTTAACAATAATGACTGATCGTCAAGTTGGTTTGTTATACTCTACCTACAAGTTGGACATTCAGGCTGGCTAGTCGATAGTGGTTGAAGATTGAGACGGACCACATTTTAGCTACCCTTCCTCCCATTTCGGGCATGCACATTATGTGTGCTCACTGCATGTATGTGCTGCATCCTCTGCAGGGGACCAGATACCAGTTATAAGTCCAGTGGCCACATTGAAACAGTATCCAGTACTTTTGGTGATTCGAAAGAAGTGGATACTTGTGTCTTAGAAATTGGTGAAATGCCAGTACCGGGACCAACAGCAACACTCTCTGAAGACCTCTGTTTTCCTAGTATCTCAGCTATTTCTCCTCAGGGAACTCTGGCCACCTGCAGAAATCTCATGGTGTTTCCTCCCTCAGTGAGAGAGAAGAATCAGAGAAAACGGTTCCAATCTACTGTGGAGAGTGTCCTATACCAGAATGTATGACTCAAACCTCCACCCTGTATGACTGCACTAATAAGGGAATGACGTATGTTGATGAAACCAATGACGTCATTTTGGAAATCCCAGAGGGAGCCATTCCTGAGGAAGAGAGACTCACGGTTGATGTTGGAGTGGCTCTCTTTGGCCCATTCCAGTTCCCAGAAGGTCTTAGACCTGTGTCTCCTGTGTTCTGGGCCTGTGTTCGTGACAATAGCAAATTCCAGTTCTTGAAACCAGTCACAGTCACTATCCCTCACTTCCTTGATCTTGACAATGAGGACAAAATGGAATTTCTGGGCCTCACTTTCCTGAAAGCACACCACAACAAAAACTCTGCGGGACTGTATGAATTCCAGCCATTAACAGAGGGCGAAATGGACTTTAACACTCTCAGAACACATGGCATTCTTGGAACCTCGCATTTTTGCAGTCTCTGTCTTGCTGCAAAATTCATACCAAGGAGTACAGAGTTTTGCATCACATCTGTTGTTCCACATTGTCCAGGTCCAGTTGGTAAGAATGTCGGGGGTTGTTTCTTTGTTACCTTTCTCAATCTGAAGACTTGTCTCGAAAAAGTTGAAACTCTGATTAATAAAATGTACAGAGAGGGATACAAGACGCGGAGGGTGCCCTTTAGGTTCAAAAGTGACACAGAAGATCCTGCACTTGAGATGACCTTCTCTCAACCAAAACATGGTCAAATTGGATGGAAAGGAAGGGACACGGTAAATGATTAACATTTTTCATACACAGTGTTTTTTAAATTACTATAATGCAGGTTTTTCGTAGCGAAGTGGATTTCTTTGTGAAGGACAATATTTCTGAGGGGGAACTACAGTGTCTGCAGAGTGATGAGTTTTATCCTCCACGATTTGAAGTGTTCTTTGCCTCTTTCAAGGAGAATGCAACACTCAGTGATGGCCAGATTACCTTCAGTGGAGCCACTAGTGGCATCAAGTTCAACTTAGACTTGGACCTACCTGACTTTACAAGTCCTCCTGTTACCTCTCCTGCAGGTAAAATTGAGTACACGAATGGAAAAACAGGCTAAAGAACCATCCTGAATATCTTTGACTATAGCTGGAGAGTGCAGTGCAAGCCACCCTCAATAGTTACTGTAAAAATGGGATTGCCTAGATATACTATGCATGGCATAAGCGTCACGTGTCCAAACTTTTCAAACTGCTGCCAGCCTGGGGGGGAAGAGGTTTGTCTGCTGCATTTGGTTTGTCACATTTGTTCTATATAATAATTATACAGGCAAACAGCAGCAGTCCACAGTGTCAGAGCAGCCCAGTCACCACTACACACTCCCAGCCACCTCCTACACTTCCCAACAGTCCACACTAGGTATGTGTAATGTAGCATTAAACAGTGTGTTCATATTTTGCATCCTTTACTTCAATGACCTTTATCTAACCAGTTAGCCGATATTGCACGTTCAACTTTTGTGCAGATATTGATGACATTTTGATGTGGTATCTGAACTGGATGACGTGGCTCACATGTGGAAGTCACTGGGAGGAGCTCTCAGACTACGACAGCCTCGACCTCGATAGAATCAAAGCTGATCACCAACAAGACTCTAGGAGCTGTCTGGAAAAGATGGTGACCATGTGGCTGAACCAGTCTTACAACACGGAGCGTTTCGGACTGCCTTCATGGAAGATGTTGGTGGAGGCAGTGGCCCATCGCAATGGGGGGAACAACAACGCCCTTGCCATACACATTGCCACCAAGTACAAAGGTCAGTGTGAGAGAGATGTATATACATCTGTCCATACTCACAGTGACCAGTACAATGCTACCTTTGGTGCACTCTAGATAGAGATATTATTGCCACCCATTATTGGAACTAAAGTCAAGTATGTACACCTTTTGGAGTGCTGTTGCTGGTTTACAAGGCCGACGTCCCGAGGGCGCGTAAGCGCCTGAGGGCGAGGCCTTGTAAACCGCAACAGCACTCCAAAAGGTGTAATAATTAGTTTATTGATAGTTGCTAGGTGCTATTACGTCAATTGCATGCAGTCGCCTACGCGTGCATTTGTGTGTTTCGCTGTCTTCGGCCGCGCTTCTCGTGTGTGGAGCTCCCACTGGCGTTTCTCCGTGCTTGGGCTCTGTTGCAATCATGGCAAAGAGGTCTCGAAGCCCTCTTCGCGTAAGTGTCGAAGGGGAACTCAGAAAAGCGAGGCTGAGGACGATGATCACTCCCGCACGGTGGCAAGAAGCTGAGGTTGAGTCCTTCTGGCATTAGGGAAGTAGTAGAGCATGAGTCAAGAGTACAGTGAGCGGTTGAATTTTTTTAGCGGTGCTAAAGTTAAGACGCTGGAAAAGAAGTCGCTTCCCCGGAACATGGAAAGTTGCTAGTGATGCACGTTACAGCGCAGTGCTTATATCAGATATAGCACTAACCACGGTGCATATGTCACCTACACACTCGTGGTGCATTATAGTAGCACAATCAACAGCAATCCACCTAGCGAACGAGTCAAGAAGTATGTATGTAGGACGTACTCTCTAATGCATGCAGTCTGTC